CTTTGAGAACTGAATGTGGTGGCCAGCTTTGTGGCGTAGAAGGTTAAGCTGCCACTTGTGACACCAACAATCCATATTGGAGATCCAGTTCAAGTCCCAGGTGCTCTGCTTCCAAACTAGCTTCTTATTAATGCACCTGGGAAAGCAGCAGAGGATGGCCCAGGAGCTTGGGTTCCTATGTGGGAGACCCGAATGGAGTTCTGCTCCTGGCTTATGCCTGGCTCAGCTCCAGCCATTATGAACATTTGGGGAGTGAACCAGCAGATGAAAGTTTCTCTCTCTCTCTCTCTCTTTCTGTTTCTCCCTCTCTCTTTCACTTTGCATTTCAAATAAATTAAATCTTCGAGACAAAAAAAAAAAAAGTTGACTGTGAGAATCACCATCCACACATGGTAAAACAGAGCTGCCTGTCTGATTCTATCCATATGATCTGATTTCAAGATTTATTACAGTGGCAGAAATCAAGATTGTGTAATACCATCAAAATGCACGATGATGGAACAGAAGACAGAGCTCATAAATAGACTCAATGAAATATGATCAATTTATTTTTGTAAGTAATGTAAAGATAATTCAACAAACAATAGTCTTTTAGCCAGGACAATTGGCAAAAATATGGAAAAAGAAGGACAATGATGTTATACAACTCATATAAAAATTAACCTAAAAGGTATCATAAGCCTAAATGTAAAATATGAAACTATAAAACTTGCAGTAGAAAACATAAGGAAAACTCTGTGTGACCTTGAATTGATAAAGAGATCTTAAATATCCTTCCACAATCATGACAGTAAAGGAAAAAAACTGATCAAACTCCATCAAGGTTTAAAAACTTTTGCTCTGTAAAACAAAGAAATTCTTTGTCATTTTCTTTGCTATGGACAGAATGGTTATGTCCCTTTCAAATTCTTATGTTGAAATTCTAGCCCCCAAAGTGATGGTACTAGGAGGTGGAGTCTTTCGGTGGTATTATTAAGAGAATGAGAAGACAGGCCACAGATGGAAAGAAAATATTTAAAATCAGACATATGACAAAAAATTGTATCTAGAATATGTTAAAAAAAACCTAATTTTCACCAAAAGAAAGCAAATAATCCAGTAAAAAAGGGTGGGGGGCAACAGAATTGAATAGACACTTCACTTCAGAAGACAAACAGCATCTGAAAAGACACTTAACTTCACTATTCATTAGGGAAATTCAAATTAAAAGCACACTATCATAATCCTATTAAAATGCTATTTTTAAACTTTTATTTAATAAATATAAATTTCCAAAGTTCAACTTTTGGATTATAGCGGCTTTTCCCCCCATAACCTCCCTCCCACCTGAAACCATGCCATCTCCCACTCCCTCTCCCATCCCATTCACAGCAAGATTCATTTTCAATTATCTTTATATACAGAAGATCAACTTAGTATATACACGAAGTAAAGATTTCAACAGTTTGCATCCACACAGATACACAAAATATCAAGTACTGTTTGATTACTAGTTATACCATTAATACGCATAGTACAATGCATTAAGGACAGAGATCCTACATGGGGAATAGTTTCACAGTGACTCCCGTTGCTGATTTAACAATTGACACTCTTATTTATGATGTCAGTAATCACCTGAGGATCTTGTCATGAATTGCCAAGGCTATGGAAGCCTCTTGAGTTCACAAACTCCAATCTTATTCAGATAAGGCCATAGTCAAAGTGGAACTTCCAATTCAGTCCTATCAAGATGGCATGTACCAATGCCATCTTACTAGTCAAATTGATCAGTTTAAGTTAATAATTGTTCATAATTATAGGATTAAATGTCAAAGGGATCACATAAACAAGACTAGTGTCTGCTAATAATAACTGATAGAATTAAAAAGGAGAGAACGGTCCAACATGGAAAGCGGGATACACAGCAGACTCATAGAATGGCAGATGTCCTAAACAGCACTCTGGCCTCACAACCAGCCCTTAAGGCATTCGGATCCGGCTAAAAAGCCCATGAGAGTTTCTCAGGCATGAAAAGCCAAGACACTGTGGCAAAGAAAAATGACCTAAATGAAAGATCTCTGTGAGTGAGATCCCAGCAGAAAGAATGGGCCATCAAAGAAGGAAGTACCTTTCTCTGAAGGGAGGAGAGAACTTCCACTTTGACTATTGCCTTATCTAAATAAAATGTTATTTTTTTTTAACCTGACAATATCAAGTGCCAGCAAGAAAAAGGAGAAGCAGAGTTGTCATATATCACTGGTGGGCATGCAAAATGTACAATCACTCTGGAAAACAGTTTATCAGTTTCTTTCTTTTTTTAAAGATTTATTTATTTGAAAGGCAGAATTACAGAGAGGCAGAGGCAGTGAGAGAGAGGTCTTCCATATGCTGGTTCACTCCCCAGATGGCTGCAATGGCCGGAGCTGTGCTGATCCAAAGCCAGGAGCTTCTTCCTGGTCTCCCATGCAGGTGCAGGGGCCCAATGACTTGGACCATCTCCTGCTGCTTTCCCAGGCCATAGCAGAGATCTGGATCGAAATAGAGCAGTTGGGATATGAACCAGTGCCCATATGGGATGCCGGCACTGCAGATGGCCCCTTTCCCCACTATGCCACAGTGCTGACCCCTGTCAGTTTCTTATAAAACTAAACCATATAGTCCAGTAATCCTACTTCTGGGTATTTTAAGTTTAAACAAAAGCCTGTAAATGAGAGTTGAGAGCAGTTTGTCTTAGTTTTATTTGTGCTGCAGTAACAAAATACCCGATGCTGGGCAATTTATAAATAGAAATTCACTTGTCACATTTCTGGAAACCGTGACATGCAAGAGTAAGGCTCTGGTAGGTCTGGTGTGGGGTGAGGGCCTAATCTATCTGATTGTAGGGTAGCATTTTGTTGCATCTCCTAGAGGGGATGACCTCTGTGTCCTCTTTGGTGGGAGAGTAAGCACCAAATCCTGCAACAAACCTCTTTCGTAAGGTCCTTCATTTCATTTATAAAGGTGAGACACTCCTGACTAATCACCTCTTGGAGGCCCCACTTCTTCATACAATTATATTGGTGATTAAGTTTCAGTATATGGATTTTGGGAGACACTTGGTGGCCATAGCACAATTTAATTCATAATTGCCAAAAAATAGAAGTAACCCAAATGTCCCCTGTTGCATGGATAAATGCTCTGTGATCTATCCACACAATGGAATATTATTACTCAGAAATCAGAGGACCAAACAATTAATAGAGGCAATAAGATGGAAAAACCTCAAATGCATTATGCTAAGTCAGGGGTCAGCAAACTCGCTGGTTTGCAGGCTAGCTCCAGCCCCACCCATCTATTTATGTCTGTCTGTGGCAGCTTTCATGCTGCAATGTCAGAGTTGAATAATTGTAACAGAGACAGCAAGGCCTGCAAAGCTGAAAATATTTACTACCTGTCTTTTTACAGAGAAAGTTTGCCAATATCCGTGCTAAGTGAAGGAAGCCAGATACAAAATCCACCTACATTGTGGTTCTATTTATATAACATTCTGGAAAAAGGCAAAGCTGTTGGTAGGGAGGACAGATCGCTGGTCCCCAAGGCTTGGGTTTGGAGGCAGGCATTGACTATGAAAGGCAACACAAAGGGCACTTTAAAATATTATGGCACTTTCTGCCTTGATTATGGTGATTCTAACAGGTCTCTGCATTTGCCAAAGCTAACAGGACTGTTTCAATTGCACATCCAAACAAAAGAAGTGTCTTTTTTTGTATGTATATAAATAAATTTACAAAATAAGTCCTATAAAGATGGCACATATATTATTGGTCTGCATATTGTGGCTGTAAGTTGCAAACGTTAAAATGATTTTTAAGCTGAAAAAAGAGGACCAGTGCTCAGGTAGCTGGAAGTGATACTGGGGTTGGTGATGAATCCAGGACTTCAGGAAACAGTCCTGAGAGAGGAGATCTGGAGGTCACTGGGCCCAAGATTCTCTCTTTTTTTTTTTTTTTTGAAAGATTTTTATTTATTTATTTATTTATTTGAAAGTCAGAGTTACAGAGAGGAGAGGCAGAGAGAGAGAGAGAGGTCTTCCATCCAATGGCTCATTCCCCAGTTGGCCGCAATGGCCGGAGCTGCGCCGATCCAAAGCCAGGAGCCAGGAGCCAGGAGCTTCCCCCAGGTCTCCCACATGGGTGCTGGGGCCCAAGGACCTGGGCCATCCTCTACTGTTTTCCAAGGCCATAGCAGAGAGCTGGATTGGAAGTGGAGCAGCCGGCTCTTGAACCGGCACCCATATGGGATGCTGGCACTTCAGGCCAGAGCTTTAACCTGCTGCGCCACAGCACCGGCCCCAGTTGTTTCTTTTTAATTTATTTGAGAGGTAGAGTTATAGACAGAGAGAGGGAGAGACTTCAGTTGTTTCTTTATAATGGCAAACATAGACTAGAAAGCCATGTTTAACGCATTAAAAAAAGATCTTGAGCCATTCACTCCAAATAGTCTGTGACTTGTAGAACTGTAAGCCACTCTTAATTAATTGTGAAAATGTTTATTTCAGGCCAGTATATTTCATTGAAGTATTGATATTTCAAGAAATATAAGGGAAATGACCTAGAATTGTTGATATAACCCAAGTTAAAAAGATCTCATTATGTAGATCAAGACCATTCTCTATCCCCTTTATGATTGAGATTTTTTTCCCTTTGAATTTTCAGTGTTTAAACATTTGGGGATTGAACAAAAATAGAAGAAAACAAATCCAGATAGCCTTTGTTAAACAAAGAAAAGATTCATAATTTTAAAAATATTTCTTAGGAAGATATCAACATTGATTAAATTCGGCTTACTAAGCTTCCTGCCTCTGTGTCACTGAACTAGAACCAGTATTCTCTTTTAGTGGAGAGCAGACATACAGAAACCTTAATTTTCTTTTTCCACAGTGTGTGTTAAAAAGAAACCATTAAACAAAGTGCAAGCCTCCTTCCAAATCAAAAGACACCTAAGTTTCATTATCTTGTTTTTCTTTCTCTTTTCTGCAGTGCTGTTCCAAGGGCTCCACCTGATGGGTTAGCTTACCCAGAGAAAATCAAATACACACTGATCTCAAGTCCCTAAATTACCAACCAGTGGCAGGAGGAAAAGAGAACAATAGAAGCTGGCTTCCATTTGCCCAGCCTTCTGGTTCATCGACCAGGGAACACAGGCTGCTCGTTTGCAGGCTGCTTTGATGACTTCTCCCCAGGAGGGAGCCACAGAGAAAATCATTCACCCTCAAACTTGCACACTTCTGACCTGGGGAAGCAAAAAGCAGATGAAGAAATTGGAATATGACTTGCCTGAGAGCAACTCTGAACCATTTCAGACAGCATTTATATTATGTAGTCTCAAGTTTCTAAACCTAATTTAATAAATACATATCTTTGCAAAAATAGCACTGTGCATATCAGCAACATTTCTATTTCAACAGGAAATAGAAGCAAGTTTTCCACTGCCGGAAAATTCTGTTGATACTGAAGGTGCGGGAAAGAAGAGTTAATTCACCCTATTTTTTCTTCTGTGTACTAAGGTTATGTTTTCACATGTTTTAAAATTCTCTGCCATTCTATTTTACAACTACAAATTGAAGTGATGTGCAAAATGCTGAGAACTGAAAAAACATTATTAGGGAAAGACTCAAAATTGTGCCATTAAACAAAAATCAATGTTTCATATTAAACAATGCCACTCTGGTACAATCAGGTTAAACAAACAAACAAACAAACAAAAAAACAATTGGAGTTGTGTTCAGCTTGGCAGTTAAGACACTGGCTAAAACGTACAGGTTCCACATCAGAGTATCTGGGTTCAATACCCAGCACAAACTCCTGATCCCAACTTGTTGCTAACATATACTTTGGAGGCAGAGGTTCCTGTCATCCACACGGGAGAACTGGATTGCATTTCCAACTTGTGGTGACCCTGGCCCAGGCCCCATTATTGTGTCTATTCATCTGTTTCTCTCTTTGCTTCTCAATAACAAAAAAAAAAAAAAAAAAAAAAAAAAAAGTGATTCAAGAGCTGATCTCCTTGTTTTAAACTGTGTGGTGGTTTGAGGGGCTGGTCAAAATAGTTTCTGTTTTCAGAATTGAGAAAAAAGCCAATTCTGAGAACAAAAGTTGCTCAGTATTCTCATATTCTGGTACAAAGAATGATTAGAGGCGTGTAAAGGCTTATTGCTTTATTCTACATCTACTAAGCCTCCATTTCCACCTCAGTCTCCCTGAACGGAATAAGCTGGTCCAGACGGGGAAAGCGGAGAGTCTGGGGGAAAAGGCTGCAGAGGAAGGAGCCAGCCTCAGCTCTGGCACACCTAGGGTATCTCCTACAGGATAGACACCAGTATGGATCATTATTTTGTACCCTCCTCCTCTACATGGCAAAATTATTACATTAAATGAAGAAATCAATACTTGTTAAATCTTAGTTAATTCTACTTATGCCCCTTGGATATTGAATTTTTCTATGGTATTATATAGAATTTTAAGTTATTTGGGTTCCTTAAAGATTAAATGTGTTCTCCTTCTGATTCTATTGACAACATCTGTAAGTTACTGTCATATAATGTATAATGTGTAGTGTTGCATGACTTTGTTCTAGTGGAAAAAGCTTAAGAAGCTAAGCTGAAGCCAGGAGCCTGGAACTGCATCAGGTTCTCCCACGTTAGTAGCCATGGCTCAAGTACTTGGGACACCATCTACTGCTTTCCCAGATGCATTAACAGGGAGCTGGATTAAAAATAGAGCATCTGGGACTTGAACCAATTCTCATATGCTCAACATTGGCCCTGCCATAAACTCTTCAAAGTAAACTCATACAAACAGTAGGGAAAAGTCTTAAGTCTAAGTGTCAGTTGATCAGAGTCACATAAAAATCTCATTTTACAATAAATTCTAGAAATTACAATAGTGAACATGTAATTTATTCTTTAGAATCTCTCTAGCACCTTTCAAATATCCCCAGTCAATTTTCCCCCCACAATTTATCTTTATTAGTAAATTCAGGTATATTTAAATCTTATTTTGTAAATACTTTTGAAATTTCTCTTCTGGCACAAAAATTAGAGACACTGGAGCTGGGGCTGTGGCACAGTGGGTTAAGCCTCTGCTTATAGCACTGGTATCCCATATAGGTGCTGGTGGCTGCTCCATTTCTGATCCAGTTTCCTGCTAATGAGCCTGGGAAAGCAGTGCAAGATGGTCTAAGTGCTTGGGCACCTGCATCCATGTGAGAGACTTGCAAGAAGATCTTGGCTCTTAGCTTTAGCCTGGCCTGACCCTGGCCCTTGTGGCCATTTGGAGAGTGAACCCTGTCTGTCTCTGTCTCTCTATAATTCTCACTTTCAAATAAAATAAATAAATCCTTCAGAAAACATCAGAGACATTATTTGACCCTTTTCTTTCATGCAATGTATAGTTTCTGGTAAGAACAATGAAATGGTTAAATCCTAATACTTTTTGTATGTGCTAGCAAAATATGATCTCTTATCATTTCTCCTGGTATTATCCTTTATTTTTAAAAAAGATTTATTTATCTGAGAGACAGAGTTACAGACAGAGGGAGAGACAGAGAGAGAAATCTTACATTTGCTGGTTCACTCTCCAAGTGATTGCAACAGCCAGAGCTGAGCTGATCTGAAACCAGGGGCCAGGAGCTTCTTCCGGGTCTCCCACATGGGTGCAGGGGCCCAACCACTTAGGCCATTTTTCACTGACTTCCCAGGCCATTAGCAGGGAGCTGGATCAGAAGTGGAGCAGCCAGGACTCAATCAGCTCCCACAAGTGATGTCAGCCCCGCAGGTGGAGGCTTTATCTACTATGCCACAGTGTCGGCCCCAGAATTATTTAAAATGAGATTTTTTCTATGTAAGCATCCATTTGCTTATATATTTTTAAGAAGAAAAGTTTTTCCTCTACAAATTTAAGTCTGAGTGATAAGCAACTTCAGAATTCATTAATAATAGATGAATAGGAGATACACCAAACATACTTGTGGACTCCTCTACAGAGTAGTTTCCCGAACATCTAGAGATACAGGTTTATAAACTGGCTTAACAGGCAGGTGGGGTAGTGGGATTAGGGCTTCAAAGTGTGGAAAATTCTAATGAGACTTGACAATGTCCCACTGTCCAAGTCAGTTACCTTTCTGGCTGGAGACCTCCTTTGGAGTTTGGGCATTTGTGGCAGCTGACTCTAGAAAAATAGCTACAGTCAGATAAGAGAAGCTCAGATAAGATTTCTCTCTGAATTTGCAATAGTTCAGAATTTTTCATTTATATGCCATTTTTTAGTGAATTTGTGGCCCTTTAATATTATGTGGCATAATTACAATGTTCTTAAGAATTTCTGTATTTTGATCTTTAAGGAATGCTTTTAAAGCTTGTTGTTTCATTGCCCATTGTTCAAGGCTTATTTTGGCTGTCTGAAAATATTCTGGAGTCCTATGAAACTCACCTCAAACTTCATACCAGAAAGAAAAATAATTCAGGAAAGAAAAATTGCATGTAACAGAGAGAAATTTTTAATTAATCCTCCTGGGTCCGCTTTGTTTTTGGATTGCATAACACATTGAAGGTTGAAATCGACTTTTCAGACTTGTTTGGACCATGCAGTTCCATAATGAGCATGACCTCTAATCTGGAAAGGGTATTCTCACTATTAGAGATCCATTCTGTACTGTGTTCTATCATTGAGGTGAGAATTAAACGAATGAACCAATTTTTTCCAAAGTTGTCAAATGAGCCATCCATAAATGGCCACTTCCAAAAGAATGAGCTCTGCAAAAATTAAAGGATTATTTACATAAAATATGCATAAACATCAGGAGTAATTCCTTTGACCCACAAAGGGCCTTAACTCCACTGTGTCTTTCATAGTTTCAACTCCGCTGTAACATTGGCCACAATGGAGGCTGATATCAACACATCTCTTCTGTGGGCTCAGCAGATCTTCCTGCAACAGCAAAGAAGCCTCAGAATGGTTCTTTTATTTCAACTTTGTCATCTTCATATGAACGCAGTTGATAGCTTTTCACATTTGATCAGTGTGTGAAGAAACACGCAGAATGCTGGAACAATAATTCCAAAGTACTGTCCTTTTATTTATTTTTTAAGATTTTTATTTATTTATTTGACAGGTAGAGTTATAGACAGTGAGAGAAAGACAGAGAGAAAGGTCTTCCTTCCGTTGGTTCATCCCCCCAAATGACCGCTACGGCCGGCGCTGCACTGATCCGAAACCAGGAGCCAGGTGCTTCCTCCTGGTCTCCCATGCAGGTGCAGGGCCCACTTGGGCCATCCTCCACTGCACTCCCGGGCCACAGCAGAGAGCTGGACTGGAAGAGGAGCAACCGGGACTAGAACCCGGTGCCCATCTGGGATGCCGGTGCCGCAGGTGGAGGATTAGCCAAGTGAGCTGCGGCGCCGGGCCCAGTACTGCCCTTTTAAAGATATCTGCCACTACTAGCTGGCACCACTGACTTGATTCCTAATAGACTGGATTTATTCTTTATCCTGCAATTTAAAATAGGACTATATTTAAACCCTTAAAAGATATTATTGAAATTCAGGAAAATATTGCATATAGAAACTTAGATTTGAGTGTACAAACCAGCTATGCCAAACTTCACATTTTACACTGCCTATGTCCTTTACATTTTAGACACAAAGACTCCAAGGGGCCAAAAAGTATAGCAGGTTTGAAGTTTGAAGAAATAATTATATTTCTTTCTATTTATTCTCTCTCTACATGCTATCATCATAATTTTGAATTGCCCCTTAAAAGTAAGAATATGGAGTACTATAATGTTTGGATCCACATCAAACCTTACTCTTTTTTTTTTTTTTTTTTGACAGGCAGAGTGGACAGTGAGAGAGAGAGACAGAGAGAAAGGTCTTCCTTTTGCCGTTAGTTCACCCTCCAATGGCCGCCACGGCCGGCGCGCTGCAGCCAGCGCACCGCGCTGATCCGATGGCAGGAGCCAGGTACTTCTCCTGGTCTCCCATGGGGTGCAGGGCCCAAGTACTTGGGCCATCCTCCACTGCACTCCCTGGCCACAGCAAAGAGCTGGCCTGGAAGAGGGGCAACTGGGACAGAATCCGGCGCCCCGACCGGGACTAGAACCCGGTGTGCCGGCGCCGCAAGGTGGAGGATTAGCCTAGTAAGCCACGGCGCCGGCTCAAACCTTACTCTTTATGAACTTACTCTTTAAGTTACTAAAACTCTATGTGTGTTAGGATCCAACTGATTAATGGGTATTTCTCCAAATTAATTTCCATGTGGAATATAATTATTTATTAAATAATAAGGAATGAAAATGTACTGACTTAAAGCACATACACATAAATAATCAGTAATTATTTAGAACTTAGACCAGCAAGAGATATTTGTGGGGAGAAATGTTTTATCACTGACATTTCTCAAAATTGTTGATGTATAGTGATAACAGAAAAACAGACGTATTTATAGTTGGCTTTACTAGTTTTAAATATTTCTCCAAAGGCAATGCACTACCTTATTCTCTGCAATGAGTGGACACTTCCCTCCACCCTGCATTTGGTACACACTGGTCTCAAATGATTCTCTAGCCGAGAGCATTGTTTTTAAGGTCTACAGACTTGTATGGAAAGGAGAAATGGCTTCTTACTTACTGGTTGAGTGTTTGCTTGATGACTTGCCTTGGTGTTTCCAAATGGGAAAAAGAAAGCTGGCATGGCGAAGCTTTCATTTTCTGCAATGGTGAAGAACAAGAAGACTGTCCCCAAAGCACCAAGGGTGTGCCTGGGAAGAGTCTAGAGAATGAAGGTATATCTGCAGCAGAAGCAAGGCAACCTATTCCCGTGGGTGAAAGGCTGCCCTGGAGGATACCTATAAAAGGGAAACCATTTTCTCTGTGGAGCTCATAAGGACACAGTTTTGTTTCCCTTTGCATCCTCCCTCAGCCAACACCCTCTCCTGTCCTCCTGTCCAAGCTTCTGAAGTCTCAAGCCAACCTGTGTAGACAATGGTGGGGAGGTGCGTGGGAAGGAATCTTTAAACTGATTGTGAGATGGAAACTTTTTTTTTTTGATAGGCAGAGTTAGACAGTGAGAGAGAGAGAGAGAGAGACAGAGAGAAAGGTCTTCCTTTTCCGTTGGTTCACCTCCCCAATGGCCGCTGTGGCCGGTGCACCGCGCCGATCCGAAGCCAAGAGCCAGGTGCTTCCCCTGGTCTCCCATGTGGGTGCAGGGCCCAAGCACCTGAGCCATCCTCCACTTCCTTTCCAGGCCACAGCAGAGAGCTGGCCTGGAAGAGGGGCAACCGGGACAGAATCCGGCGCCCCAACTGGGACTAGAACCCGGTGTGCCGGCGCTGCAGGCGGAGGATTAGCCTAGTGAGCTGCGGCGCTGGCCGAGATGGAAACTTTTAATAGGGGAAAATTAACTCCTAGCAAAGAAAATCACCCTGGTTTAATAAACAAGCGTGCGGGCAAGTTATGGAAACAGTTTGCTGTGTCTTCGAGGAAGTTTACTGCTCACTGGGAACAAAGCCATGCCCATTGGTTGTCAATAGAGTAGTAGTTCTTGGGGGGAAAACTCAGAAACTTTCATTTTTGTGCTTGGATAAGCGAAGTTGCTCCATTGGGCCATTGAATAGCTGCTGTATGTCATTTCTCCTCTGTCTCCTCCCTGCGCTGGTTGGGAACCCGGACAGCCGGTTCCTAACTGGACCCTGTTCCAGTTGCTCTTTGTTTTAGGATTTGTGCTGCTCTGGTCCATGACCTTCTTCCAGAAATGCTATCACATTGATACAGCATTTGGGTTTTGAGTTTATTCCCACATCACCTCAGGTTTCAATAATTCCAAAGGAGATCCATTTCATTCTGGAACTTTCTCTCAAGATATGTGTGTGCCTCCAACAACATGCAAAAAAAAACAAAAAAAAAAACAAAAAAAACAAAAAACAAAAAAAAAAACTACCTCTTCTCAAACACTAGCCAAAACCTATTGCCCAAACCACGGCAAACTTGTTATCTTCAGTTGAGATTTCCTCTTTTTATTTTCTGAATTTCTTCATATTGTTTCTTTCTCATTTCTCTATTCCATTTGCTCTGAGAAACACAGAGAAGCACCCCATAATTTTCTTTTGGGATGAATAATTATAAAGTCCAAATGGCTTCTTTTATTCAGACATCTCCTAAATTGCCAACATCCTCAAGTCTCTCATTTAAATAATGACTGCAAATTGTTAAATTTGAGTAATGTATGCAGAAGCCATTCCATTATTAGAATATTGGAAAATCTTTTGAGGCTATTGATTATTTTGGGCTAGAAAATTGTTTTTCTTGACCGTGTTTACAGAAAAAAAGAACCATGTTATTTCAAAAGTGTTTTAATTTGGGGCCCATTTATCTCTAAACATCTAGCTACTAAGATTGTGTTTTCTGTGACAAAGAATGTGTTTTCTGTGACAAAGGATGTAAGAGTGCTAAAAAAAAAAAAGATTCTGTGCAATTTTGCCATAGCTGTTATTAGCTTGGAAGAGTTTGGACATAGTTTTTTAAGCTTCAGATGTGACAATGTATTTGCTAAAATAAGGGATAATAGAAAAAGAGCTAAGAAAAATAAAGATTACAATTCCAAACTTCTCATCATAGGCCACATCCCATAAGGGCTTTTAAGGCTCTGGGATTTATGTGTGTGTGTGTTTATGTTCCTAATTTAAACACCCATCTGAATTCCCTACCTAGATTTAGTAAAGTTCATAGTTTGCTAAATACCTCCAGACTTCTGCCATACTAGATCATGTGTTACTCACTCTGGGAGTGACAGTCTTTCTCACAAACCAATAGGCAAGGTGGTTATTCACAAAAGACTTGAAATGGATATGGCCAATTGGCTTGTGGCGCCTTTTCACAAGCCCAAGGAATGAAAGAACTTCTAGAAAGTGCATTACATATATCTTCCAAAATCCCCCAATCAAATAATAATTATTAAAGCCCCTGGTAGATTATACTATGTTTTTACACATTTTAAAACTAATTCTCCCTCATGGCAAACCTGGGAATTGGTTATTATTATCACTGTTTTATAAGATATTCATTAACTCTCTCAATCTCATGGGCCTCCAAGCTGCGTCCCAGGAGGTCCATCAGTGCTTCTCTGTTTATCCTCAACTTTGGCTCTACTGCTGGTAGGGAAGTCCCTCCTTGACAGGTCTGAGAACTGACTCCCAAGACAACCCTCAGCCCCTGCACACAGACACCTCCTCTGTGTCACTCATGTCATCACTGCAAAGCCAACTGGCGCTTCCAACATGAAAGGGGAGCGTTCTCATCCAAAAGCCACTCCACCCCCCATTTGATCCATTGTAATTCAGTTTATGTGTCAGTCATTTTAAATTTCATACATTTAAAAACAATTAAAGCGATTATCAAGGCATACATGATTAAGACACAAATGAAATTTCCTATCTTTGTTGAACTTGATCCAAACATTACACATCTCCTGCATATTATCAAGTGGTGTTCCTCTTCTGGCGGTGCTTCTGAAACATCTGTTGCTCCTTAGCTGAAACCATGCCCCCCAAGTTCCGAGAAAGTGGGGATCTTTTCTGTGCGGGGACCAGGACCCTTGCAGAGACAGAGTAATTATTCTTTTTTCTGTCATCTGATCTTTGACTTAGCCCCATCCAATCTTCCCAGGAAAATTCCCAGCACTCCTTTGTTGGTTGGCACTCTTCCTATTTCTAGCTGTTGGTGGCTCAGTTCCCAGAATGTGAGCCAGTCTCTAGTTCAAGGCTGGCAGCTCTGGAGGAAGGAGACTCCATCTTGTTCTCTTTTATATTGCCAGGACCTATGTAGTGCCTGGCATACCCAGCGTCTACTAGAGGTTCAACAAACATTTACCAAATTTATGAATGAATGAAGAAGTCTGATCTTCTCATTTTATTGACAGAAAGAACTTAAACCAGAGGGTTATGCGAATGGATCAAACATGTGGTTATCAGTGGCAGAACTAGGACTTGAAACGAGATATATTCACTTCCTTTCCAACGTTTCTGCTCTGTACATGTAATATGCAGCCCACTCAGTCATCTTCCCTGTCCCTGTTAATGGCACTACCACTGGGCAGTTTTCCAAAAAGCAATTAGCTGCCCCCCTCCTCTTTGCAATCTCTTGCCCCCACCTCCTCTGCAGGCCTTAGAACCTGGAACTTCTCTAAAAGTTCTGCTGCTCTCATAAGACATGAGGTCCCTCAGAGTCACAGTCCACCTTGGTAACATGACATATCATGTTGCCAGGGGAAAAGCATTTAACCTGCCACAATATAGGCACTTCCCTTGCCACATCAACTGGAAAGAAATTTTCTCATTCAGAAAACAATTTGATTACCAAAATGACAGCGAAAGTGAAATTTCAAATTCCTTAGAGGAAGTAAAAGAAAAAGCAAATATCCTGCCTGCCCCCGCTGGTTCCTAGTTCTTCCTTCCGGATGTCAATGTGATGAACAGCAGCCTGTGGCTGCCACCAGGAAGCTGCCATGCAGAAGCGAGCATCTACCTTCTGAAAAAAAACACAACTGCAGTCACACTCAAAAAGAATGCAGAGTGACGAAAACCAGCTTCAGAGTAATAGAGGAGTAAGAAAAGTCAGCGAAGTCATTGAGTTTATGCAAATTTCAGAAGACACAAAAGCAAGAACACTGCTTCCATGTTACACATACAGGTACATGGGTAAAAAAGTATAAAAACAAACATGCTCCGGACGCTCTTGACTCATGCTTCCCAAGAGTTGAATAAGGTACAAGGAAAAGGAGATAAAGGGCACAGGGAATCCAAATTTACCCGGATTTTTGTTAATATATACTATATAAACATATGCTGAAGGAAATAAGGCCAATGGTAAGAACTGCCAAGGCTGGGAATGGGTTCACGGGAATACATTATTTTGGGAGCACTACTTATGTTAAAATGCATTTCAAATAAAAAAATTAAAAACAAAAAAGAACTGGTAGATTCACTTGTACTGTCACAGCTACCATTTAAATGTATTGTGTCCATTTAACAATGTTTTGGGAGAGCTTTATCATTTTAACAAACAAATATCAACCTCATTTGATCATTTTTAGCTCATCAAAACAAAAAATAAAGCTTGCATGATAATTCACTGTATTTCAATCATTTACCTGTTCTCCTGTGGATGAACATTTATTTCCTCATTTTTGCTTTGTTATTATAAATTGTACTGTAATAAATGTAAACACACATTGGTATTTTATCATATGTATCTCACTGAGGATAAAAAGATTTTAGAGACATTCATTTATAAATACAGAATTTAGTCATGATATTTCACTTGTGGAACTCAGGCTTTGGGGAAAAACTGCCAGTCTCTTTCAAATACTATATTTTTAAGTTTAAGTGATTTGGATTAAAATTGTACTATCAGAATTTTTTTTTTTTTTTTTAGTGTTGGCTTAAGGCTTAACTAACCCCTGGGAGTCAATTTCCAGTCATTAATATCTTAGCAGGATTGACTTTATCAGCTCCTTTCTAAGATTAGCTTTTCTTAAGAAAATAGATAAAGCTTGAAGACAGAGGACATTACAGGAGTGCAGAGAAAAGATTTGTCAAATACAGAGGCTGGAGCCCCCAAGGTAAACTTATGTTCCTCAAAATTTTGTGTAGGACAGAGCCACTTAATCTGCCACTCTGAACTCCCAAAGAAAATTTAAAAATTAAAGCAGTAATGACCTTAAAATCTGTGTTAAATTAAACTGGACCTTTGTGAGAAATTTTTGGTACCTCTAAAATCACCCCATACATTTTTCTTCTAAAAATTTTCAACATCTATATCTTTCGAGGCATTATAATAAATATCTCTATTGACCATCATTCTTAAGCTTCCATATTTCTAACATTGTAATTATGGGAATTAACATTTGACTGGAAATTTGAGCCGACACACCATATGTGATGAGGTCGGTCCTGTGGCAGTGCCCCTGAACACTGGACACGACTGCCATCGCCAGTGTGCAGACCTCCCTTCCCCCCCTCCCTAACCCCTTGCCTCTGGCCAGTGTTTTCTCCCTATATTTTTTAAGCACTCTTATGTTGTTTTAAAAATCTGGTCAGGAGAGGAAGTTGCATTTTTAACACACAGTGGAATAGAACATAAAAACAAACAAAAGCAAACGACCGTTCTGGAGACGTCTAGATCTCCCTGTGTGCTGGGACTGGGATCTTGATATCAACGAGCTTGCTCATCCAAGTGTTCCCATGGAGGCAGCTTGCCTTCGCTTGCACACGCCACCAGACTTGCCTACAGAGATCGTGGCCCATTCCTTTCATCTGTGCTTTTCTTCTCATCTGAGCCACTGGGAGTCTAGCATCCTGTCCCGTGGCTATGCTTAGTAGCCTTAATAGCTGCAATGGAAGCAGTATGTCAACACTGAGGAGGGAGAGTGGAAGAAGAATCGAACATGTTAATATCCTCTGGGGGTGGAGTGTTGGAGGGCTCTTGCTATTGAGAGACAGGTATAAGCTTGATTTCAGAAGTGCAGATATGATTTAATTACTCCTGTTTCTGGTGTGGATTATCACTTCAAGGATTTGCATGCTATTGCCGTTGGTGATTAATGAAAGAGTTGTAAATCAGGGCTGTAATAAAATATAAAAGGTGTAAGTAAAGAAGACAGATTTGAAGTCTGTAGTTTATAGTGCATGAGTTGCTTTAAAAATACTGGGTACGTGTTCTATTTATACATACATAAATCACCCCACATGCAGGTATGTATACATCCGTGTATAATTTTAAATGACAGGCACCAATTTAATGGAGAAGCTAGGGCTCATTAGTTCCCTGAGCAGGATTGATTCTCCATGGCCGGAATGGTGCATACAGTTCCTAGATAATTTGTAGTGAATTGAATTTTCTTTCAGCATACCTAATTAGTGGCTCTTTCTTTTGCTGCTTAAAAGGATAGAGACATTTTAAAAAATAAATATTTGAAAATGCTGTTAAAGCACTGTAAAGAATGAAGCCTTCAGATGCATCTTATGCCCCAGTGTTTCTACTCCCAAGTGTTAGAGGTCTTCAAAAAATTTATAGGAAATGCAAATTTATGGAAAAATTGTATGTGGAGTTCAAAAATTCTTTGCACTAAAATGAACTTGGCTTTTCATTCTATTTTTTCCACAAACTTTTTGAAGCACCCTCGTATGTATACCAAAGAATTGAAGGCAAGTATTCAAATAAGCACAACAGCACAAATGTTCACTGTTCACAACAGCTCAGAAATGGAAACAACCGAGTATCTGTCAACTGCAGAGGAGCCAAACAAAGTGTGGTAGGCACCAGCCATGGGAACAGTAATGAAGTTCTCACACTAACACATACTGCAACGCGGATGAACCCAGGAAATAGTACATTCATCGAGAGAAGCCAGTCATAAAAGCCCACATGTTGTATGATTCTATTCACATAAAATATATATCCAGAGTAAGTAAATCCACATAGACAAAACAGATTAGTGGTTGCCAGGTGACAGAGTGAGGAAATAATAAAGAACACCTAATGGGTATCTAATTTCCTTCCGGGATTATGCAAATGTTTTGGAACTAGACAGAGATGATGCTTGCACAGCCTTGCGAAAGTGCTAAAATGGCACTTAACTGAACACCTTAAAGCAATTAATTTATATTATGGGAATTTTCCTTAATTAAAAACAACAAAAGCTGAAAAAAATCCATTCATCCAGAAATGCAGTAACAGATTCAAGTCTCAGGCACTGAGAAGCAAAGGTGAAAGGGCAGGAATCACCACCAGATGGGGAAGGGACAAATCATGTGTTGGCGCATTGTTCGCTGGGTAAATGATGTACATCAAGGTCAGAGCAATAGGAGGACTGACGGGGCTGACCATGGGACGACTGACTGCTAACAGAGCCCTGGGGAACTGTCACAGACAAAAGTTAGACACAACTGGATGGTGACTCTTAGTCTGTTTGGGTCATGGAAGCATGTAGAGATGTGGCAAAAACTACGGGTATTAACTAGTGAAAAAAAGTCACAAATATAGACATGCATAAAATTTTGAATGCAATTTCTGGAAGGTCACATTGACATATCTGTGACATTAGTAAACTTTGTTACACCAGGTTAAAAGTTACTGTGGTACAGTGGGGAGTAGAAATCCAACCAATCTGGGGATTTGAAATTCAATAAAGCCAGCTTTACTAATGTGTTACCTTTATTATCATTCAATCCAAAGATTTATTGAGCATCTAATATATGACAAACACTTTTCAATGAACCAGGGATACGGAGAGAGACAAGATACTTCTTCTGCACTGAGGGTTATGATCTAGTTTCTAAATGCCAATAACTTGTGCAAGAGCTGCAAGATTCAAGGTTGCATAGAAGAACTGACAAACTTTTCAGTTCTGCTGTAACTAAGGTTCTATTTTATTAAGGGATTTAAAAAAAAGATTTCTTTACTTATTTGAAAGGCAAAGTTACAGAGGCAGAAGCATTGGCAGAGAGAGAGAGAGAGAGAGAGAGAGAGAGAATCTTCCATCTGATGGCTCAATCCCCAAATGTTCATATCAGCAGGAGCTGTGCCAATCTGAAGCCAGGAGCCAGGGGCTTCTTCCAGGTCTCCCACGCGGGTGCAGGGGCCCAAGCACCGGGGCCATCTTCTACTACTTTCCCAGGCCATAGCACAGAGCTGCTCAGAAATGGAGCAGCTGGGTCTTGAACTAGCAACCATATGGGATGCTGGCAATGCAAGACAGCAGCTTTACCTGATACGCCAAAGCGCTGGCCCCCTGAGGTTTTATTAAATTGACAGTTTTTCCTAGTAGCTTTCCATAAGGCTAGGTCTTAAACTCCAGCTTTCACTAGCATAGATGGCAGTTAATTTATACATTTGTTTGCTAGGCAAGTAGAGCTGCTCTGCCTTCTAATGTATGTGTAACACTCACGAAGGAAGTCAGTTTGCAAAGCCAAATGGAGTACACTCGCTGAAAGCCTAATTTTTAAAAATATTTGAGAATAATATATGGGTATGCATGTTCATATATTGTATTATGGCCACCAGCTAAGCTTCCAAGAGTAGGTGATGTCTAAGTTAGGTTTGCCATTTAGTCTCTTAGAGCCTTTGTTTTTGTTGTTTTTGCCTGATAGAAGTTGCTTTCATATCTTGATTTTCTATGTGAATAGAACTCCCAAGAGTTGTGCAGTGTACAGCTTGTGAAACTGAACAGAGCGGCTGCCACAGATAGGATTACCTTGAAGATTATAAGAGTTGGTTGGGTGTGCGGATTTGGCCTTCATCTACGTGCGAGTTCCTGTGTTTAACCTCCAGCTCTGGCTCTTGACTCCAGCTTCAAGCTAATGCAGACTCTGGGAGGCAGGGACGGTGACTCAAGTAGTTGAGTTCCTGCCACTCACATGGCAGAACCTGGCTTGAGCTCCTGGTTCCCAGGTGCCCCAGCCTCAACCTCTGTGAGCATCTGGGGACTGAACCAGTAGAGGGGAATTCTCTCTCACTCTCTGTCTCATTCCCCTCATAAATAAATAAAATGAAAAATGTTGATTTATGCAAAGTCCTTCGTGTACACTCTGAAAGTGGCTAAGAGTGAGCAGTGTGGGTGACACTGACAAATAGTCCAGATTAGCTCCCCAAACTAGTAACACGTTAGGCACCTTAACCCTTTTCTTCTAAATTCTTTAGTCTATTCAGGGACTGGGAAAGGACTGGGATGCAGGACCCTGAAGTAGGTGGAAGCTATAGTGTAGGGAAGTGTAGGAAGTTGTAGGGAAGTTGCCCCTAAATATAGGCCATCCCGGCCACAATGTCAGATAAGATACATCATACAATGAGTAGAAACTATCACCAGAAACAGCTTTTACTGAACATATTCTATGTCAGGCTCTGTGGGCAAAGCTTTATACGATCATGTTACCCACTACTTATGAAAACCCTATGCATTAGGGCTGAGGAGTTAGCAATCAAGATTAGAATTTGGGGCCAGCACCATGGCATAGCAGGTAAACCCACTGTCTGAAGTGCTGGCATCCCATATGGATGACAATTCGAGTCCTGGCTGCTCCACATCTGATCCAGCTCTCTGCTACGGGCTGGGAAAGCAGTAGAAGATGGCCCAAGTCCTTGGGATCCTGCACTTGCATGGGAACCTGGAAGAAGCTCCTGGTTCCTGGCTTTGGATCGGCTCAGCTCCGGCCATTGTGGCCATTTGGGAAGTGAACCAGTGGATGGAAGAGCTCTCTCTCTGTCTCTGCCTCTGCCTCTTTGTAACTCTGACTTTCAAATATATAAGCAAATCTCTTTTTTTTTTAAAAAAAAGATTAGAATTTGTTTCTCCCACATTTTCTTCTCATTCCTAAGTTTGTGAGTTTGTTCAATTTGTTTGAGACTCCAGTCCTTTTGTTGATTCTGAAGAATATCTGCGTACTTATGTCTAGATGGAGATAGAGGTCTTTGTCTACATTTCTCATTACTACATCTTCACACATATCTGGACACAGAAATGTATATCCTATGTTACCCAGTGCCTAACATAGCACCTGTCATATTAGACACCTAACTGATAAACAATATCATGTGTGAATATACAGGTGCTTTCTCTGTTCTCACACATTTTTAAAAATTAGATCATTCGGGGAATGGTCTCTATGTGGCTTCCAAATGACCGCCTTCAATGTTGTACATAGATTAGAAAGCAGTACAGCTCTGACTTGGTTGGCAAGCAGGCAGAGATAAGTTTATTAGCAACAGTGCTGGTGGGAAATGCTATGGGGTATTAGAGGTGCAAGGCCTCCAAAATTTCATATGAGCTTAATTTATTTCTGCAATGGCTCATTTCCTAGGTTCTGAGTTTTGAAAGGTTCCTGCCTTGATGAAGCTTACAATCTATAATGCAAATATAAATATATAAGAAAGGTTTAGAAAATCATCCCTGCTATGAGAAGTGAGACAGAATGGTGAGACGAACAGGTCTCATGGTAGGAAGGAAGGCCTACTCCAGCTACAGGATGGCTAGGGAAATCCTATGTGCCATGGAGACAAGTCCACTGAGATGTCACAGAAGAAGCCAATGAGGAGCAAGAGTTTTTTTTTTTTTTTTTTGTAAGATTTATTTATTTGTTTGAAAGTCAGAGCCACAGAGAGAGGCAGAGGCAGAGGCAGAAAGAGAGAGGTCTTCCATCTGCTGGTTTACTCCCCAAATGGCTGCAAAGGCCAGGGCTGTCAGGCTGAAGCCAGGAGCCCAAAGCTTCATCTGGGTCTCCCACATGGGTGCAGGGGCCCACGCTCCAACCTATACTCCCACCCTTCTTCCTCCTTCCTCTCCTATTCTCATTCTAATTTTTAAATAACATCTATTTTCAATTAAATTTATACACATAAGATTAACCCTATACTAAGTAAACAAATAGGATGAAAAAAAACCAAAATTGTTCCTCAATAGTTGAGACAAGGCTGTTCAAAGTCATCACATCACAAAGTATAAATTTCACTTCCATAGATTACCTTTAGTTACTCTATTAGTTACCACAGATTGGGGAGAATATATGGTATTTTCTTTTTGATACTGGCTTATTCCATAAACATAATGTTTTCTAGTTGCATCCATGTTGTTGCAAAAGACAGGATTTCATTTTTTTTAAGATTTTAATTATTTATTTGAAAGGCAGAGTTACAGAGAGGCAGAGACAGAGAGGTCTTCCATTAGCTGGTTCACTCCCCAGTGATGATGCTGATTCTTCCAATCCATGAACATGGAAGATTTTTCCATTTTGGGGGGTCTTCTTTTATTTCTTTCTTTAATTTTTTCTGATTTTCATCATAGAGATCTTTGATGTCCTTGGTTAAATTTATTCCAAGGTATTTAATTTTTTTGTAGTTATTGTGAATGAATTTGATCTTATAAGTTCTTTCTCAGCCATGGCATTGTCTATGTATACAAAAGCTATTGATTTTTATGTGTTAATTTATTATCCTGCCACTTTACCAAACTCTTTTATGTGTTCTAGTAGTCTTTTAGTGGAGTCTTTTGGATCCCCTTTGTATAGAATCATGTCATCTGCAAATAGGGACAGTTTCACTTCCTCCTTCCCAATTTATATCCCTTTAATATCTCTTTCTTGCCTAACATCTCTGGCTAAAACTTCCAGGACTATATTGAATAGCAATAGTGAGAGTGAACATCCTTGTCTGCTTCCAGATCTTAATGGCAATGCTTCCAACTTTTCCCCATTCAATAAGATGTTGGCCATGGTTTTGTCAAAAACTGCTTTGATTGTGTTGAAGAATGTTCCTTCTATACCCAATTTGCTTAGTTTTCATCATGAAATGGTGTTGTATTTTATGAAATGTTTTCTCGCATCTATTGAGATAATCATATGGTTTTTGTTCTTCAGTTTGTTAATGTGATGTATCACATTGATTGATTTGCAAATGTTGAACCATCCTTGCATACCTGGGATAAATCCCACGTGGTCTGGGTGGATGATCTTTCTGATGTGTTGTTGGATTTGATTGGCACATCTGGGAATAGTCCAAGTGCCATATTTTGTGGTAGTGCATACTGAACTTCCCAAATTCCTAAAAACAACAACCGCAACAAAAAAGAGAGAAAACAGAGCAGAATGTAATCCTGTAACCAGAGTCCCAAATTCAGCAGGGGGTCTCTGGAGGACTGGGATACATCTGGGAATGAGGGAGTGAGGCAGGAAAGAGCAACTGTAAATGAGTCAAGAACAAATGGTTGGTTGGTGTGTGTGTGTATGAGGTGAGGGAGGGTCATAGGCACTCCCCTGCAACAACTTTTCTCTTTAAGAGTCGTCCTGGGTGGGCAGGAAGACTGACAGGGCAGGACTGGGGGTGGGGTACACAATTGTACTACTCAGGGAGCTCTCACTCAAGCCTTTTGGCAGGCAGCATACTTAATTTATCCTCTTGGCCCTCTAGGTATTCTCTGTCCCATGTACTAGGGACCTAGGGAAAGGGAAAGGTCTCTTTCCAGTTCTAAGATTCTAGGGTTTGGGGGTTTTCTCAAGTCTTCTTAAAATGTCTTTCAAATTTTTGCTCTTATAGAGGAGCAATTGCCATTGAGTTTGCAACCAAGCTTTTTATATAAAATACGATATTTTTAGCTTCTTTTGTGAGATCCTTTCCTACTTGGATTATCCAGAATACAACTAATTGCACTTTTATATTTTTTTAATTGAAAGAAATTTTATGAGCTGCATAGAATGTGTTTTGCTGTTTAATTATGTTTAGATTTATTGTCAGTGAACCATTTTTACTCATAATACCCCTGATATTAAATGGATGTTTAACAGTTCAATTCCTTTATAATAAGATTTACCCTGAGTTAGCATCAGATCCTACAAATTTAGGGGCTCAGTTTCACAAGATGCCTCCATATCAGATGCCAATCAGAAGTCACTGGCCACCCTCACTTTGGACAGACCAGTTTTTACTTGAGGGTTCCCCAAAAACCCTTCAAGTTCTGTAATTCACTAGAAAGACTTCCATAACCCAGGAAAGCACTTAATTTGATATAGCTGGTTTGTTACAAAGGCTAGAACTCAAGAACAACCAAATGGAAGAGATGCACAGGGCTAGGTATTGAGTGGAAGCCCTCGGAGCCTGGTTGTTCAGGGTTGTCATAATGGTTTCAGCATTCAGCGTGACTGGCTAAATCATACGCTAATGGAGATGAACTCAATTGGTAGCTCCTCTCTCCTCCACAGAAACTGGGATAGAGCTGAAAGTTCCAACCTTCTAATCAAAACTTGTTTTTTTCTGGTGATCAGTCTCCATCCTGAAACTACTCAAGGGCTTCCAGCCACTAATGATCTCATTATGCAAAACATACCTATTATTCTGAAGATTGGAAAGGTTTTTGGAGTTGTATACCAGGAGCACAGGACAAGGACCAAATCTTTAATTTTTTAAAAAAATTTTTTTCACTTGACAGAGTTATAGACAGTGAGAGAGAGAGAGAGAGAGAGAGAGAGACAGAAAGGTCTTCCTTCCGTTGGTTCATCCCCCAAATGGCCGCTATGGCCTGCGCTGCACCAATCAGAAGCAAGGAGCCAGGTGCTTCTTCCTGGTTTCTGATGTGGGTGCAGGGGCCCAAGCACCTGGGCCATCCTCCACTGCCTTCCCGGGCCACAGCAGAGAGCTGGACTGGAAGAGGAGCAGTGGGACTAGAACCCGGCACCCATATGGGATGCTGGCGCTGCAGGCAGAGGATTAACCAAGTGAGCCATGCTGCCAGCCCCACAAATCTACTTTTTATTGTACCATATGCATTAAAATAGTTTAATACAGTACCCAATTTTGTTTTTTTGTCACGAAACAACTTTAAGCATGTTCTATCTAATTTGCTAAGAACTCATAAAGAAAATAGCATCTATGTTCTCATAAAGATATTGAATTTTAATTAAATATGAAATTTGGCTTAATATTATACATAAAGGGATAAAGTCACATTGTGGAAAATTAGAGAGGCAATTTAGCAAAAAAAAAATCTAGCTTGTGATATTTTAGCTAAAATCTTCAGCTCTGAACTAAATAACTGCTTAGTTCCTTTAAATTACCAAAGAACACTTTAATAGAAATTAAGACAATTGTTTTTAGGAGTCTTCAGTTTGAGGAACCCACTAAATGGATTTCATTGATCTTTCCTTGAGGGAACACAGAATATTTTAAGTTTTATACATCAGCTAGCTAATTCAATTGGATCCCTATTAGATGTCAGGCTAGGTGTTAAGAATATAAAAGTAAATGCAGCTGGCTACAGCTTTCAAGGCATTCAATCCTGCTCTGCTCCAAGGAGGTAGCAGGGCAGATGGCTCAGCTGGCTGGGTTTGGAGTCTGATTATTTAGGTCAAACTCCACCTCTACCACTTACTAGTTGCAAAATGTTAGGAAATCATTTACACATTCTGAATTCTAATTTCTTCATCTACAAGCGAGGCACAACCATAGAAGTCCAAGAGTGTCCTGGTTAAAATATGCAAGATAGTGCTTAGAGTACGCTAAATATTTAAAATATCTTTCTGGGGGTTGTGTTTTTATAGCCTTGGTTATGCTGTAGTCCCAGTTATTCAACTGTTCTAGTGAAGGTGTTTTGTAAATGTGACTTTAAACTAGGATGGCTGTCCTGAGTAATCAGGGTGGGTCTGATTTCATCTGGGGAAAGTCAGCTGCTGCCTGTGGTCAGCAGACGTAGCCTGTGCAGGAGAGTCCCAGCCTCCTAGTCCTAACCCCTGCCCTACGGATTTGGGACTAGTTGAGTTAAGTCCTTGTGATAAACCTCCTAATACACTATGATCTTCCGTTCTGCATCCCGTAAGATATTAAATGTGTAGGACAATGTGTGTGAAGCGCCTAGCAGTGAGAGCAGTCTTCATGTTGTTAGGCTATGGGCTGCCACGATTCCAGCCATCTGAGTCCTAGCTGCCTCCTGACCTTGAGGTGAGGTGACTGTGATAGTCATCTCCAACTCTATGGGATAAGCACAATCATTAAAATAACCTGAGGAGCATTCGTGCTGCATAATGATGCCTGGAATTTTCCTTAGCTAATGTTTGGAATGTTAACATTTCCGGAGAAAATCCATGAGCATTCCAGTTAGCCACAGCATACCTTTGTTCTTATTTTGTGGACCAGGGATCCTCTGTCTTGCAGCCAAGACACACTTCTGTGGAGAAGTCTCTAATAAATACCACTTGTGTAAACCTGGGTTTGTCTGCCTCTTTCTTTGGTCTCAGGGTACCTTCTACCTTTGGTGGCTAATTCTCCTACAGTGGGATTCCTGAAACAACTTACAAACGAAACAAAACAGCCGGCGCCGTGGCTCAATAGGCTAATCCTCCACCTTGCGGCGCCGGCACACCGGGTTCTAGTCCCGGTCGGGGCGCCGGATTCTGTCCCGGTTGCCCCTCTTCCAGGCCAGCTCTCTGCTATGGCCAGGGAGTGCAGTGGAGGATGGCCCAGGTGCTTGGGCCCTGCACCCCATGGGAGACCAGGAAAAGCACCTGGATCCTGGCTCCTGCCATCGGATCAGCGCGGTGCGCCGGCTGCAGCGGCGGCCATTGGAGGGTGAACCAATGGCAAAAGGAAGACCTTTCTCTCTCTGTCTCTCTCTCTCACTGTCCACTCTGCCTGTCGGGTTTTCATAATGGTTTCAGCATTCAGCGTGACTGGCTAAGAAAGAAACAAAACAACAACCGAAACAAGAATACATGTGCTGGTGCGTGTGTTGGGCTTGGGACTCCTCAAGGAGACTGGACATAAAGGTGCCATTTGAACAGGCTCCAGATGAGAGAGAAATAATCTAGGAGGAAGAAAGGACAAGAGCAAGCAGTAGGCTTCTCTCAAGGAAACAATGTAAGGGCAAGACACACTTGTAAATGGCAAAGGAACTCTTGTGTCATAGTTCCAGATAAATCTGGATTATTGCAATATCTTTTTTTTTTTTTTACAGGCAGAGTGGATAGTGAGAGAGAGAGACAGAGAGAAAGGTCTTCCTTTGCTGTTGGTTCACCCTCCAATGGCCACCACGGCCGGCATGTTGTGGCCGGCGCACCTCGCTGATCCAATGGCAGGAGCCAGGTACTTCTCCTGGTCTCCCATGGGGTGCAGGGCTCAAGGACTTGGGCCATCCTCCACTGCACTCCCTGGCCACAGCAGAGAGCTGGCCTGGAAGAGGGGCAACCGGGACAGAATCTGGCGCCCCGACCGGGACTAGAACCCGGTGTGCCAGTGCTGCAAGGTGGAGGATTAGCCTAGTGAGCCACAG